TCCCCCCTGTGGTCGTTCCCCGCCCCAGCCGCTGCCAGCCGAAGTTTCGGGGTGCCTGCAGCGGTGGGTGTAAGGCTGCTGAGCCGGGGAAAGAAGTGTCCTGCCGGGCAGCGGTGTGCTCCCTTGGAGGGAAGGGGTGGCGCGGGGCTGGAGAGCCCAGGGGAAAGGAGGTCAGCGTTGGGATGTACCAGCGGAGTGGGAGTGAGAAAAGGAGGGGAGCTGCCCAAGAGCATGGCCACACGCTGCGCAGCAGAAGGCAGTGTCCTCAGCTACCGTAGATACAAAGCCTACTGAAGCTGCAAGAGATCAATATGAAAAACACACTCACTGGTAAACCTTATCCCTAAGAATAAACAGCATACATTCCCGAACTGTAATACTTCCCATTTAAAGTAGCAAAGAGATTTAAAGTACGTTGCAGCAACTGGCTGCTCCTCTGATCCCTCGTGTAGCCAGTCTTCCTTTTAGTGACATCAAAGGGGACTTTGAGGAAGGAAAAAGAAGGCAACACAAATGCACCTTGCGATTTTTAAGGTGCAAGAGTGTGTCTGCTCAGACACTTTAAAAATCTCTGTTCATTCAGCTATCTTGGCATTTTGTTCAAATCTTTTGGCATTTTTTCCTCTTCAGAGCAGCTTTCTTCACATTCTGCAGGTGCGAAGATTAAGGAAAGTTCCTTGTTCATGGAGCAAGATCCTCCTGCTTTGCTTCAACGAAGGAAATTTGCAACTTATGTTAATGTCCTCCTCTTTCCTTGCAAGAATTTCAGGTTGAGCAGTGATACCACACTCGCAGCATGAGGCGTCTGTAATTCAGCTTTGTTCTAACATCCAAAATTACAAGCTTTCATCACCTGCTTTAGAAGTACCTAGAAGAAAGAGTATAAGAAAAACAAAACAGATTCATTACTCAGTGTTATTGTTGAAAACAAAAATAGTAGAGGCAACTGCTGACCTCAGAAATCAAGTGGGTAAAGATTACGCTGAAATGTTTCAGCAAAGCCAGCAAATCTGGAAACAGTTTCAGTTTTCCTGTAGCAATTTTAAAATGATAAAGATTAAATAAATCAAAAAGCAGACTCAAAACTGTTGAAAGGCAGTTAATTCATTCCTCTTTATCCACAAAGCAGGCATGTCAAGGGAAGCAGCAACAATGGCTTTCCTACAAATGATCCTCAGCACTAGGCTGGAGGAGTCTCTTCTGCAATTAAGAGGCAGTTCTGTCTCCACCGCCTGTTCAGTTGTCAGTCTCTCTGCGAAGGCTCCTCAAGAGCAAAGTGTGACTGTGGTCTCAGTTGTTTCTGCTTATGGCTACCATGGCCTGTTCACTGCAAACAGAAGTGAAATGCCCAAGTAAAACTGTCTTAGGAAGTCTGCAGTAACACCGAGACGCTAATTAGAGAATGTTTGAATGGATACCTGCGTTGTATATACCATCAAAGACCTCTAGTCTTCTGATGGACTGGCTTCCTTTTCTTCTCCAATCTTCAGATTCTCCTTTTCCTTACTGTTATAAAAAAAGGAGAGGAAAAAAAAAGCCCAAATCAGCATCAGATATCCTGAGCAGTAGAGTCATGTTCTGAGTTACCTACAGCATACATAACGCATAACAAGAAGTTATATGATAAGATAATAAGCCGTGACCACAGTGTCAGGTTCATGGAGGAAAGAACAGAGTGATCATCCGCCAACTAACACCACAATAGCCGAGTCCTTCTCTGAGTGAGAAGCCACCATGAAGGGCAAGAGCAAAATGAGGACTCCAACGCTCGTTCATCCTGGGGCTCTGTTCTGACTGCGAGCAAGCAGCCAATTATTGCTAATTGTGTTGGCAGTTTCGCATTGTAGACGCTTAGCATAGGGTCCAAGGCAATGATTCAGAATAGCTACGAAGATATTTTTGACAAGCTTTCCCAGAAGCCTTTCTCTCTCTCCTCTGTCCTTACAGCTCAGTTTCTGCCACCTCCATCCTCTTCTCTTGCGCTTTCTTCCGACGGTGTCGACAGATAATCACAAGTGACACCACAATGATCATCAGAACACACGCAGACCCAATGGCCACCACCAGGAAATGGATTTCTGAGAAATGCACTGCATGGAAAGAAACAGATAAGTGAACAAGAGGGACACACAGAGGGCTTTTGGTATGAGGCTGGGAACCTGTATCCATGAATGTAACCTTTCCCCAGGTTCCTTTTTTCCTTGTATCCATTAACTACCCTCATGCTTTCTCTTTATAATCCCTTTTCTTCCCTGTATTTTCCTAAATGTGAGGGAAGACCTGGCAATGCTTTGCACTGGCTGAATTCACATGACCTCCGGTGGGGTCTTGGCCTCTCACCTTTCTGCACAACTCTGAGTCGCACTTCACCAATTGTGCCATCAACATCTGGTGGGTTCTTCACCTGGCAAGTGAATGTCCCATTGTCTGTGGGCTGCAAATTCCAGATAATGATAGAAACATCATTACGCTCAATATTCCCATCCCAGGTGACTCGCTCTTTAAACCGCCCAGCAGACAGCTTGTAGGGCTCCTTCAGGTAATAAAATACCTACAAGAAAGAGAGGAAGCTGTCATTCCTGAGCACTGTGCAGGCTTTGTGATAGAAGCAGCACATGAAAGTGGTGTGGCAACGGTTGAGGCACATACCCTAAGCTGAGGGAGAGCTGTGTTGGCCCAGCCGCTCTCAGATGAACTCTGAGGCTGTTTCAAAAGATAGTGCCTTGTGCGTTTCAGCTGTGCTTGCCCACACCCACACCTGGAATTCTGCAGTCACTGGGCTTACCCAGTGCTGGGCCTTGGGACTGGTTTGTTTGGGCAAGTGTGCATCAATGAAATGGAGCGTAAAGGTCTCACTCACTGGCTCATGAGAGCTCAGGTCCTCGGGCTGGAAGTTCCAGGTCACTGACAGGTGCTGGCTAATAGGGCTGCTGCTGGAAAAGGTGCATTTCAAACGCAGGTTAGTGCCGTTCACAGCATCCACCTCCTTGGAAGTGTGAACTTCCACAGCTGCCGCAGGCCACAGCGCTGCAGGGAAAACGGCAGGGGTTAGAGGTAAAGCAAGCTACTGTCTGGGAGTAAGCTCATCACTTTTCCTTATCTGCTTTTAGTCTGTGCAGGAGCCTGCCTTATCTATCCCAGTCAATGTTTAACCTGACAGTCTCAAGCACGCAGATATAATTACCGAGGGGGGTGATCCTGCATATGCAGAATCCAAGAGTTCCCCTGTGCTTCATGGGTTTTGTCAGTGGATGTGCAAGCTGCACGGTGCTGGTTTCAAGGGAGTTTGCATTCATCTGAACTGCTGGTACAGTGATTTCTTCGTAGTTTTGTGGCTGTGCAGTTAAACACTTACAGATCTGATAACTGGTTGAGAAAGGACCACTGAGAAGGACTTGCCTAAAAGGACAATAAACTTTGTTTTGGGGGGAAATGTCTTTCTTCAAACATAAGCAAATTTAACATCGAGGAGGTGCAATGCTGCTGTAAACGCCACCCCTCCTTAAATACACACTTGCTCCTGACTGGAACCAAAGATACCGTCTAACTTTTCATGTGCTTGTCCTGGTCACATTTTCACAAGCGATTACACTCTACTGCACCCAATTCCCCAAGCAGATTTCTTCAGAAAAGCAGCCCTGCCCTTTCAAGTAGGACTGCTGAGCCCCGACGAACAACTGCTGTTTCCCCTGCTAGAATTTCCTTCATACCCTTTGTATGAGAAGGCTGAGTGTCATGCCCACCATGGTGAAAACTGCTCTTATGGATGTAAGCGGTGCCTGTTAGAAGGTTAATAGCCCAGCTGGACAACTACAGTCAAATAAAGTCAGGCTGAGGAACTCTACAGGAAATCCTCGAGGTAAATCTGTAAGCATTTGTTTGTCAAAGAAACATCCTCTGTTAACCAAACCACCACAGCTGCCACTTTAAAAATAGGCTAGCATCGCTAACTCGACGCTAGCCTGGAAGAGAGACAATCAGCAACGGAGAGAGCATCAAGACACAGAAAGAAGAAAAATGAAAAATAGGAAAACCAAGGGGTTGCCGGTGAAGATGCCTCTCACACCCGAGCCCTAGCTGTCCTCTGGCTTGCCCTGCCATTCCAGACCGAGTTTGGTCACTCCAGCAGACTGGTGCTACCAAAACAGAGGTGCTGCAAGTTCTCACTTTTTCCCCTGCAATCATTGTGTCGCTTGCCTTACCGCTTTAGCGCCCTGAGTTAGTGGGTCAGTTTGTGCAAAACAGCAGTGCTGAGCTAAAAATACTGCTGCTGCTGAAAGGGACAGTCCTCCCTGTTTTTGACCATGTGCTCTCATCAGTTTCCTTTTCCTCACTGGTCGAAGTAACCCAGCAGAAAAAGAAAATATTAATAATTTCCCGTCACTTTAGGAAGGTGAGTTAACTCACCCCACTGTGATTCAAGCAAAAAAAAAAAGCTTATCTGGGGTTGTAAAATACGGCTTCATAATAAAGATGATCAATACATTTCCTGTATTTGAAAATAACTTATAACCAAAGACTTCTTTGCCAAATAATTTTTTTTCTCAAAGGAGAAAATATTTGAAATGCCAAAACATTGAAGGTGTTCACATTTGAAAAACTTCACTGGCAGAGATCATGTTTCTCCTCCAAAGATTCGGTGTCAAATCTTTTCACTTTAAACTCCTTTAAAAGAACAACTGTGGGAAATAAGCGTAAAAAACTTTTTTCAAGACAGATTACCAAGCGTATCCGTGTGCTGATGCGTTTGGGAAAGGAGGACATGATGTTCTTAGATTGCAGCTGTATTAATATAAACCACTGAAAATTCAAGCGAGTTTATTGTTGTCGGTCTGGAATTGTTGCTGTGTAAAGGGTCTAAACCCAGTGCTGCCTAACAATCTCTGATTGTCTAGTAACAAAGATAGTGAAAAAAAAATCTAGGAGTAAAGTCCAGATTCCTGGCAGGAGAGAAAAAGATGTGTAACCAGAGCTCAGAATGAGGTCTGTGTTTTTCTTCCGCTTGAACACACCTAAACCTGTTTGTCGAAGAAACTCAATCACTTCATGTCACTTGCAGTGAACGCCGGACCGAAAGAATTGCAGCAATCATCCACACCGAGTATCTGAGACTCCTATAAAGTCGCTGCCTTAATGAGAACGATAATTAAGGGATCAGGAGAGGAAAGTCAAGATGGCAACGGAGGCCAGACAGTACCCGGTTTCCTTACCTCGGAGCTGTACCCCAAGGAAGAGCACAGCACCCAGCCAGCTGGGGCCATGCATCGGGAAGACAAGTCCGCACTCGGCAGGTTGAGCAGTACTAGAAAGAGAAATTCGTTTCAGGTTCTCGATAATCGAAAGATGAGCTTCTCAAAGCCTTCCCGGCACAGTAGAGCAAATTCCTTTCTTTCAGCTTGGCCCGTAAGGCAATGTGAGGACTCCTTCCTGCTTGAGTCAGAGAGCACTCCCTGCCCTTGCACTGAAAGGCGAGGCGCGGCCGGCACAGCTCACTTCTGTGGGTAAAACAGGGAGATTTTCAAGGTAAGATTAATTTCTTCTGCCTCCCATATTCCTTTGCTCTTTTGTGTTGCAATCATCTCTCCTCCCAGCTTCCACTTGAAACCACTCCCCTCTTGTGGGAAACAACTTTGCTCCTAAAAGAAAATTTGCCTGAAGGTGTTTACAGGTATCTTGAAGGAATGAGAGCCGTTTGTTTCACAAAACCCTGCGAACAGTCCCAAAAAAGCAACCCCGAACAGGCAGTCTGTGGCAGCAGTATGGGCACACACCCAGAGGCTGGAAGTGTCTTACTGAAACACAGATACCTGCAGTAAAATGAAGTGATCATTTTAACGTCACTTGGTCGTAGCCATCCCACAGAAGAACCGGGAGACTGCATTAACTGGTCCTTGGAAAGCTCTTGGAAAAGTCAAAAGACAATGACATTGGACACGAGTCCAGCCCGGTGGTAGTCCAGGCACAGCTGGGGAAACCCCACTGTGCTTAACAGGCAGCACAAGGTGCTAGAGAAACTCAGTGCGACACAAAATATTTTCCTGGAGGCACGTGGCAGTCGTGAGAGCATGAAACCGAGTTGTGCGTGTGTGTTGGCAAAATAAGGATGTTGGCGTTTGAAGACCATAAATCACTCTAACAGCAGAACCTGCTGCTGGCTGTGGCTGTGTTTGTGTCTCGTCCATGACCCAGTCGCAAGAAGTCATCCCAGGTTATGAGCTTTGGTTGTGACTGATGCTAATTTGCCTTGCAGTGGTGCCAAGGCAAGGACGGGGAGGATGGCCCAACCGCTGGGTGTTTTGAAGGGCTCCCTTCAGCTCAGAGCTAGGGAGCAGAGTGAGGGCACTCTTGCGGTGCAGCAGCGTGGACTCCGATTGGGATGTTTTGGATCACCTGGGACACACTGAGAGGATGTCAGAAGTGGCCAGAACAAGGTTTTGATGGAAAGGACAGCAGCAGGACTCTCAGACTTTCTGCTAATGAGCAACCATGTGGACATCTCTCCTCCCGTTTGCTGCTGTAACATCCTCGCAGCAGATTCTGAGGAGACTACTGAATTTATGTTTAACTTTTAAACTTCAAGTTACAAATTTGGCAATGTAAAAAAGCACTGAGGCCATCAGTCTCACGGATTGTCTGCAGAAAATCACAGGGAATCCTGTCTCTTCTAATAGCTCTGAGATGCCAGATACCTCTGTTTTCCTGGGAATCAGTCTGTCCTGTGTTAAACCTTCAACACTGCATCTCCCCAGATTTCCCCTCACTTACTGTTCCAAAATATCATCTCCGTTTCTTCCATTGCCACCATAAACACTTGTTAGGCTGGGGTCTTTTGTTAGTGTTGCAAACAGAGGATACTTTTGCCTTTTCAGATTTTGTTTCAAGTATCTGTAAGGCAGTGCCCAGCACTTAATTCGCCGCCACCCCCTAAGTTCATCTTTCTGTACAGTGGCAACTTCTTATCCTCAGGCAGCCCATGCAGAGTCCAGTTGGAAAAGTGAGTTTCTTGCTGTAACCGCCCTTGGGCCACGCTACCGGCTCTCGCTTCAGACCGCATTCGTGTAACACACGGGTCTGGGAAGAGGGGCTGTTCCAGTCTTTACTTCCAGACTTTTACTAACCTTCAACGTCTTGTTTCACAACGTGCTGACTCCAACTGCGAAGAGAAGACCGTGTCACCGGCACCCTTCCCAGTAACATAAATTCTCTGCTTTTTCGTTTTGAAAGAGAAGACATAAATTCTCTGCTTTTTCGTTTTGAAACGGAAATAAGGAAAAGAAAGATCTGGCAGCTGAAGAGAGCAGCTCAATAAACGAACTGAGGACGAGACGTGCGTGGCAGCTGTGCCCCTGCGGGAGGAGGGAGCCCTGGCGATGTCTGCCCCGGG